GTTGGTGGGGACGGGGTTCGGTTGTGTCGGAGGGGTGGGGACGGGGCTGGGTTGGTGGGGATGGGGTTGGGTTGGTGGGGACGGGGTTGTGTTGTGTCGGAGGGGTGGGGACGGGGCTGGGTTGGTGGGGACGGGGTTGTGTTGTGTCGGGGGGGAGTGGGGACGGGGCTGTGTTGGTGGGGACGGGGTTCGGTTGTGTCGGAGGGGTGGGGACGGGGCTGTGTTGGTGGGGACGGGGTTCGGTTGTGTCGGGGGGGAGTGGGGACGGGGCTGTGTTGGTGGGGACGGGGTTGTGTTGTGTCGGGGGGGGTGGGGACGGGGTTGTGTTGGTGGGGACGGGGCTGGGTTGGTGGGGACGGGGTTGTGTTGTGTCGGAGGGGGTGGGGACGGGGCTGTGTTGGTGGGGACGGGGTTGTGTTGTGTCGGAGGGGTGGGGACGGGGCTGTGTTGGTGGGGACGGGGGTTGTGTTGTGTCGGAGGGGTGGGGACGGGGTTGTGTTGTGTCGGAGGGGTGGGGACGGGGCTGTGTTGTGTCGGAGGGGTGGGGACGGGGCTGGGTTGGTGGGGACGGGGCTGTGTTGTGTCGGAGGGGTGGGGACGGGGCTGGGTTGGTGGGGACGGGGCTGTGTTGTGTCGGAGGAGTGGGGACGGGGCTGTGTTGGTGGGGACGGGGCTGTGTTGTGTCGGAGGAGTGGGGACGGGGCTGGGTTGGTGGGGACGGGGCTGTGTTGTGTCGGAGGGGGTGGGGACGGGGCTGTGTTGGTGGGGACGGGGCTGTGTTGTGTCGGGGGGGGGGTGGGGACGGGGCTGGGTTGGTGGGGACGGGGCTGTGTTGTGTCGGAGGGGTGGGGACGGGGTTGGGTTGGTGGGGACGGGGTTGTGTTGTGTCGGGGGGGGTGGGGACGGGGCTGTGTTGTGTCGGAGGGGTGGGGGCGGGGCTGGGTTGGTGGGGATGGGGTTGGGTTGGTGGGGACGGGGTTGGGTTGTGTCGGAGGGGTGGGGACGGGGCTGGGTTGGTGGGGACGGGATTGTGTTGTGTCGGAGGGGTGGGGACGGGGTTGTGTTGTGTCGGGGGGGTGGGGACGGGGCTGTGTTGTGTGGAGGGGTGGGGACGGGGTTGTGTTGTGTCGGAGGGGTGGGGACGGGGCTGTGTTGGTGGGGACGGGGCTGTGTTGTGTCGGAGGGGTGGGGACGGGGCTGGGTTGGTGGGGATGGGGTTGGGTTGGTGGGGACGGGGTTGGGTTGTGTCGGAGGGGTGGGGACGGGGCTGGGTTGGTGGGGACGGGGGTTGTGTTGTGTCGGAGGGGTGGGGACGGGGTTGTGTTGTGTCGGGGGGAGTGGGGACGGGGTTGTGTTGTGTCGGAGGGGTGGGGACGGGGTTGTGTTGTGTCGGAGGGGGTGGGGACGGGGCTGTGTTGGTGGGGACGGGGTTGTGTTGTGTCGGAGGGGTGGGGACGGGGCTGGGTTGGTGGGGACGGGGCTGTGTTGTGTCGGAGGGGTGGGGACGGGGCTGGGTTGGTGGGGACGGGGCTGTGTTGTGTCGGAGGAGTGGGGACGGGGCTGTGTTGGTGGGGACGGGGCTGTGTTGTGTCGGAGGAGTGGGGACGGGGCTGGGTTGGTGGGGACGGGGCTGTGTTGTGTCGGAGGGGTGGGGACGGGGCTGTGTTGGTGGGGACGGGGCTGTGTTGTGTCGGGGGGAGTGGGGACGGGGCTGGGTTGGTGGGGACGGGGCTGTGTTGTGTCGGAGGGGTGGGGACGGGGTTGGGTTGGTGGGGACGGGGTTGTGTTGTGTCGGGGGGTGGGGACGGGGCTGTGTTGTGTCGGAGGGGTGGGGACGGGGCTGGGTTGGTGGGGATGGGGTTGGGTTGGTGGGGACGGGGTTGGGTTGTGTCGGAGGGGTGGGGACGGGGCTGGGTTGGTGGGGACGGGATTGTGTTGTGTCGGAGGGGTGGGGACGGGGTTGTGTTGTGTCGGGGGGGAGTGGGGACGGGGCTGTGTTGTGTCGGAGGGGTGGGGACGGGGTTGTGTTGTGTCGGAGGGGTGGGGACGGGGCTGTGTTGGTGGGGACGGGGCTGTGTTGTGTCGGAGGGGTGGGGACGGGGCTGGGTTGGTGGGGACGGGGTTGTGTTGTGTCGGAGGGGTGGGGACGGGGCTGGGTTGGTGGGGACGGGGCTGTGTTGTGTCGGAGGGGTGGGGACGGGGTTGTGTTGTGTCGGGGGGAGTGGGGACGGGGTTGTGTTGGTGGGGACGGGGCTGTGTTGTGTCGGAGGGGTGGGGACGGGGCTGTGTTGGTGGGGACGGGGCTGTGTTGTGTCGGAGGGGTCGGTCCGTGTGGGGGTGAACGGGGGTGGGTAGGGACAGGGCTGTGTAGGGGTGGGGACGGGGGCTGGGGCTATGTTAGGGTCCGGGGGGACTCGGCTGTACGGGGTGCTGTGGCAGCTGATCGCACGGCCGGGGTGGAGCGAGCGCGACCCGACCTAGCGGCAGCGGCCCGACCCCGAGCTCTCAGGGGCGCCGCCGCCGCCGCCTCCCTGCTGCACCAGCCGCCGGCTGTGGGGCCACGCCCACTACGCGCCTGGCCAATCCCCGGCCCGCGCCGCTGCGGTAGCCGCAGCCCGCCCCTGCCAATGAGCGCGTCGCTGCCGTCTCTCCGCCCACCCCCCTGTTTGTTATGGTCCGGGCCACGTGCCGCCGGCTCAGCTTGTCACGCGGCAGGGCCCCGCGCCGCCCCGCCCCCACCGCCGTCCTACCTCTTCTGCCCGGAAGGAAGGCGACATAGGTGGGGGATGGGCGCGAAAGCCAGACAGATCAGGAAGGGAGCAATTCGCGCCCGCGGGTCCCGGCGCCCGGCCCCGTCAGGCCCCACGCGGGGTCCGATTCCCCCCCCCACGCGGGGTCCCGGCCCCGTCAGGCCCCACGCGGGGTCCGTTCCCCCACTCCCCCCCGCGGGTCTCGGCGCCCGGCCCCGTCAGGCCCCACGCGGGGTCCGATACCCCCTCCCCCCACGCGGGGTCCCGGCCCCGTCAGGCCCCACGCGGGGTCCGTTCCCCCACCCCCCCGCGGGTCTCGGGTCCCGGCCCCGTCAGGCCCCACGCGGGGTCCGATTCCCCCCCCCACGCGGGGTCCCGGCCCCGTCAGGCCCCACGCGGGGTCCGATTCCCCCCCCCCACGCGGGGTCCCGGCCCCGTCAGGCCCCACGCGGGGTCCGATTCCCCCCCCCACGCGGGGTCCCGGCCCCGTCAGGCCCCACGCGGGGTCCGATTCCCGCCCACGGGTCCAGGCGCCCTGCCCTGTCCGACCCTGCGAGGGGGCAGCTTCCTTCCTGTGGGTCCCAGGGCCCCGCCTCATCAGGCCCCAGCAGGGCACCGATTCCTGCCTCTGTGCCTCGGGGTCCTGCCCTAGGCAGCCCCTCACAGGATTGATGCTTGCACGTGGATACTGGTGCCCTGCCCCGTCATATTGCACAGGGAGACTGATTCCTACCCAGGCGTCCCAGGGCCCTGCGCCATCCCACTCCATGAGGCAACCAGTTCTTCGTCCTGGGTCCCGGGGCCCTGCTCCCATCAGACCAGACAAAGGGACCAATTCCTGCTTCTGGGGTTCCAGGGCTCTGCTCTGTCAGACCCCATGAGGGGAATTCCTGCTTGTCAGTCCAGGGGCCCTGCCCTGTCAATTCCACGAAGGGACCAATTCCTGTTGTTTGTTCCCAGAGCCCTGCCACATCAAACCCTGAAGGGACAAATTTCTATCTCCGTGTAACTGGGCACTGCCTGTTAAAACCCATCCAGGGTCCAGTTGTTATCTACAGGTATCTTGACATCATCCCATCTAGGTACCAAATCAGGCCTGTGGTTGTAACTTTTTATGGAAGTCTTTTTTGTTTGTCTCTTAATAAGGTTGTATGAAGAAAGGCCTTGGGGGTTGGCACGTCTATTTAGATATGGCTGCACAGCTTTCACCACAAATAGTAACAGGATATTTTTTCTAGACTAGTAGGCTATTGAATATTGAAAGGAGAGAAGCAGGGTAGGAGAAGTATAACTGAGAGTGTCTTGCAATGTATTTTGTTAAACTTTTCAAAAAGATGGAATCATCTTGTAAAATTATCTAGGCAAATTGTATCCCTGAATGCTTGTAAAGAACTAAATAACAGCAAACAGAGAAGTACAGGGAATGGAGAAGAGAAATTGTTTTATGATAGATGATGAGACAGAGAAATGCAGGAATGCTGTTGCAGAGTTGCTGAGGAGACGATTCTTGCTCTAACATTGGTAAGGTTGTAATGCCAGACAAAGGGTATAAGAAGGGGTGCAGCAAGGTTAGGTTAATGATATGTGTTGGGTTTAATACGTACCTAGGGCGTTATCTTGCATGGGATGGGGACAAGATCAGGGAGTGTGCACAGCCATTTGCCTGATTGAGCCATAATCCTTCTCTCACTTACACCATTGTAAACTGGATATTGTTCCCTTCAATCAGTGGAGTTGCCCAGATGTAAGAGGGAAGTTGGGCTCAGCATTTTAATAACAGGAGTGTAATTTTGAACTATGCTGAAATGAATAAGAGGCCAGGAGTTGATTTGAAGATTGGGATGGTAGGTGCATTTTGCATATGGTGTGGAGAGCAAGGACCTTAGGGAGACTAGATGCTTTCATAGCACAAATAATATTATGCACAGGAATATCTTTAGTCACTTAGCATGGTGACAGGTTTCAGAAGGGTAGCCGTGTTAGTCTGTGTCAGTAAAAACAACGAGGAATTCTTGTGGCAGCTTAGAGACTAACACATTTATTTGGGCATAAGCTTTTATGGGCTATAGCCCACTTCATCAGATATGAAGTGGGTTATAGCCCATGAAAGCTTATTTTTACTCGCCTAGGTAATCTCATTGACTTGCTTAGTATAGGTACAGCTATACTTACTCTTTGGATTTTGGAAGAGGAACAAAAACAATTCATCTGAAACTTGTTACTCAATAAAGACATATCTTTTTGATATAGATTTGAGCAGAGTGAAAGGAACGTAGTCATGCAGAACACTCCTGACACTGAAATTTGTGATGTCCGTGGATCGGTAGGCTGAATAAACAATGGTGGACACACCAGGAAATTGCCTTCTTCTTCATTCCTGCTGGTGAGATGCTATTAATTTAAAAATGTGTTCCCATCTCCCATTGCTCTTTAATATTACTGAGCTCATTTATCTTCTCAGTGAGACAGCTACAAGGAAAAATATTTCATTTTGTAACTTAGTTCACCTTCAAAAAGAACAGATATTACTTCATGCTGCCAGTTTGTAGCAAGGCTCACTGTGTACTGTACGCTGTGTTTTATGGAGCGGTTGTGGTGATGAATACAGTGTGTATTAAAAAGGGTTATGAAAAACAGCGATTGTGCCTGACTTCTCTTTTTTTTCTATTTAAATAATGCCTGTTTATATCTCACATAAGATATGCCCAAAATTTCATTGTAGGAACTCATGACTTGCCAATTTTCACTGGTAAATAAATAAAAAAAGGATCACTCTTTTAGTGTAGAAGAGTTCAAAAAAGTATCTGAAAAGGAAACTGCTAAACAACGGTTGGTTGTTGGTTTTGCAATGGGAAGTAATGAAACCTATTTTTTCACTTCAATAAAAAGCGAAATTGTGAACTTATTTCATAAACGTTACTGTACCTATGCTACTAATAACCTATTAGATGATTAAAACTGAAAGAATGTAATAACTTCTTGTTCATGCTTCACTGTTCCATTACTTATTTACTTTACTGCATTTCTCTCAACTTTGACAATGAAAATCTGTGAAGGCCGGCCTTCAGTGCAACTATGTTTGGGTTGCCGTGTTGCCAACTCTAGTGATTTTTATTGTGGTCTTGTGATATTTGGAGGTGTGTTTTCTCCTTAAAGCTCCAGCTGCTGGAATCGTGTGATTATGTCAGAATCTGAGATTTCATTAAAAAAAATATAACCTTTATGGTTGCAGACAAAAACCTTTGAAAATGTGAACCCTTAAAAGCTCTAAAACCAGAAGGAAAATAAAAAGACTCCTTCCCCATAGTATTTCTTTCAAGCCAGTATCATTATTTTTTGAGCCTGACTCATGATTTTTGAATGACTGGGGTTGGCAATACTGAGGTTGCTACTGTGACCACTGGAATTTAAAAAAAAAAAAAAAAAAGTGTCTTGGAAAATTTCTTTTGGCTTTGGATTTTTGTAAAGACTCTTATTTAAAAAACAAAAACAACCCAACAACATTTTAGCTTGTAAAGAGGGCATTGTTGTCTAGTGGCTAGAACAAGGGACTGGGAATTGAGATTGCTGGGTTCTATTTCCAAGTTTTATCATTGATGTTGTCTGTAACTTAACCTCTCTATCCATTTCCTGGTTTGGGACTTGATACTTACCTTATAGTGGTGTTATGAGGCTGAATTCATTAACGTTTGCAAACTGCTTTGAGTTCTTGGATGAAAAGCATTATATTATAATTCTTGCAGGTGGTGCAGGGGTACACCTGTGCAGCGCTCATGAATGGTGTAGTGGCTGGGAATGGCGAACCGCAGCCACTGGGAGCTGCGGGCGGCTGTGCCTGTGTACAGTCAAAGTAAACAAACTGTCTCGCAGCCTACCAGTGGATTACCTTGATGGGCCATATGCGGCCCGCGAGCCGCAGGTTGCCCACCGCTGGATTAGAGACTTCCTCCTTCCCAACCAATTTAAACTGCTGACAAACAACTTGAAAGTGAGAGGATGTAACAAGCTACAGTGAAATGAGTCTTTGTGAAATTATTTGTTTAATATCAAGAAAAAAAGTTTGCTTCCAGTTTCTCCTGTGCTTTTTAAAACAAACAGATTAACTTGTGTTTTCCAGAGGCTGCTTGCTACATTATTGTAGAGTTTTCAGTTCATGCTTTTAGGCTCTTATTTTGAGAATTTTTTTCCAGCGATGTAGGTGTCTTTCATTGTCTGGTTTCAGAGTCTCAGCCGTGTCAGTCTGTATCCGCAAAAAGAACAGGAGTACCTGTGGCACCGTAGAGTACTCCTTTTCATTGTCTGCTGAGCATGCTCTGTGGCTGTTAGGTGATCACTTTGCCCAGTGTTCTGGCCTTCTCCTGATTTTAATGTCATGGTTGTGGTCTACCTTCCTGGAGCAGTTATGCACCCTGTGAATTTTAATAGCTTGCAAGTATATCCAACTGAACACCATCTTTGTGAAGTGATTTCTTTGTAAGTATTTTTCTTCCTCTTCTCCACTGCTGTTCTCTATAAAATGAAGCTGTTTCTGTTCTGGAGACCTATTTTTTGACCATTGTGTAATAATTGTTTTAGTTAAATGGTTAAACTTTCAATTGTTATTTGTATGTGTTTTGAAACCCATTTTAGAATGGGTTTGTTGCTGTGTAATAAACAGATTTCATTTATTTTCTGTGTAATGCTTTAATAGCATGAGTTGTGATTTATGTTTGGGGATAGAGGGATCAGATGAGATCCTGGGCTTTAAGTTGTATTCCATATCTTTTAAACGGTTTGTGATTTGGGAGAGGAGAATAAAAATACTTTATAGTTCTGTAGTGCCTTCCATCCAAGGATTTCTAAATGCTTGGCTGACATTAACCAGCCATCCCCAGATATTATTTTAGTTTTTTAGGTAGAGGGAAAAGTGAGTCATAGAAAAGTTAAATCTTTTTGACTGATGAAGTTTGTGACACAGTCAGGATTATAACTTAAGAATCCTGGTCCTGTGTCCTAACCAGGAGGCCATCCTTAAGTTAAATATTTTTAACTTGCTTGTGGAGAGTAAGATTCTAACCTGTTAACCTCGTGCGTGCTTTTTCTTGATGAGACATGTGTAAGGATCACTTTTGTGTAGATGAGCAGGACTAAGAAAAGCACAAATAGAGTGCAAATATTCAAGTTATGTAGTAAAAATGTTAAATAATAAATTTTAGTCTGCAGCAAGGGAGATTCAGGTTAGATACTAAGAAAAACTTTCTAACTATAAAGCTAGTTAAGTACTGGAACAGGTTACCTAAAGAGGGGGTGGTATCCCCATCACTGGAGTTTTTTAAAAGCAGGTTTAATAAACATGTCAGGGATGGTGTAGGTGTACTCAGTCCTGCTTCAGTGCAGGGGGATGGACAGTTGACCTCTTGAGGTACCTTCTAGCCCTAAGTTTCTATGATTGTATTTTAGGGAAGAATTTTAATGGTATTTTGTATTGTATGAAGTAATATTTTGCTTTTTTAAAGAATAAGAACATAAGACTGGCCATACTGGGTCAGACCAAAGGTCCATACAGCCCAGTATCCTGTCTACCGACAGTGACTAATGCTAGGTGCGCCAGAGGGAGTGAACCTAACAGGTAATGATCTAGTGGTCTCTCTCTTGCCATCCATCTCCACCCTCTGACATAAATATTTTGTCATACTGGTGTGAGTTTGTGCATGCCATTGCCCTCTCTGGATGAAATCAGACGTACTGAACTGTTGTAAGCCTATACATCCAAAGCTAATAGAGATTATAGTTTGGGCTCAGCACTTCAAAAAAGAGAACGTTTGTTTTGTTTTTATATACTTTTGCAGTGGAAATAAATACTCATGAAAACATTTCTATTAAATTGTAAGACCCTGTTTATATATTTTTAAAACCATCTAAATGTTAGGTCTAAAATTCACTGACTTCCATCACTTTAACTTACACCAGTGTTTTGTTTTTTTTTTCCCCTCCCCTCCTTCTCCCCTCCACATGCTCTTTTGACTTGTGGTCTCTTTCTCTACTTTTTCTCCCTGCACATTTTTCTTGATCACTTTCCCCTCTTCTCCCACTGCACACACTGCCCAACTGGCTGTTTTTTCTTCTTCCCAACAACCTTCTTCTCCCACTTGTGGTTCTCAGTCCAAAGCTCAAGTCCCAAGGGCAGTTCTTGTTTCTTTTCTTCCACCCAAGTTCAGCCGTGGCCTCTAAGGGAAGAAGCTAAACTGATTCTTCCTTGTTTAAAATTGCTTTTACAAGAACTTGTGCTATCTGTACAGTGAAGACTCTGGATGTCTATAGACAGAGATGGAAGCAAGAAGGAGGAGCCAGCATCAGGTGACAGGCCACCTCTCCATGGGTCATGGTCTAGGACCTACACTGTTGTCTTGTAGCTAAAACCTAAAACTTTTTCAAAATATAGGCAAATGTCTCAGGTTTAATCTTTAAGTTATTTGGTTTCTGCCTGTTCACAGTAGTCCAAAGACACATCAAATAAGGAGGGGGTAAAATGCGGGTAATGCTAGCTATGTACTCTTAGAGTATTCTTTCTGTTATGTTACTTTTGAGAAGGATTAGAGAAGAGGATATCCTAGAGTAATAGCACTAGCTAAATATTTTAAATGCAAGGCCGTCCTAGTGACGCATTCTGTTACATATGTCTAGTTATGTTTATAACTATCTTCTGTGATATAACACCCAGTTCTGCCCAAATTGTTAAAAAGGACAGCAAGCAGTTATCAACTTTGGCTAAGGTCATCATGAACATTTAATGACTAGATGTAAACACTAAATGAAATGAAGCCAAGGATGATATTTACCTTTATGGGCAATAAATCTTGCTGTCCAAAAAGAGAACACAGTTTACATATAATGTTAAATACATTAGAAAGTTAGTTATGACATGGATTTCACGTAAGCTGCATTTGAAAGTCTCAGGGTCTGATTCTTATTAGAATCTAGTTCTTAGATTTTTCTAAAGTACTAGAGATAAACAGTCTAAATACTATAGTCTATATCTCTATTGCCATTATAGTTTCTTTGCATATAACAAGCCTGTTCTTTAAAGTCTATTTCCTGTCAGATGTAAGTAAAACAGCTTGATGGCTTCTAACACCATAAGAAACTAACAGAAAACTAACCACAAGTATCAGCCAACAGTATCTAAAATGTAAATCAAGTTATCTTATTCCAGCTAATTGCAGTAACTAGCTCTTTATTCAGTATATCTCTTTAAGCATCCCATAATTTAAAACAATGTTCCTTCCTGTGGTCCTCATCAGTGTGTGTAGTAGTGTGTCTTGTCTTCTGTCAGGCAGGTGATGCCTGTGGGGATGAATAATTTTGGGGGGCTAGCCCCTCCTCTTCCTGCTAGTGCCCACTCTCTTTTTCTTTCTTCAGTTGTTTTCTTTCCTCGATGGAGTAACAGTAGCTAGTACTTATTCTCTGACATACTCTTTTGTTTCTATGGTCTCAAAGAACTACTGACATCTGAAATCTAAATAGAACAAAAGAAACCAGAAGTGAACAAGAAATCTAGCAGGAAGGGCAAAAAGTGCCCGCCCTGTTCTTCTACCCCACTTCTGCCTTCAGTTGTGGAGCCTTCACGCAGTTGTCCAGAATTCTTCCCTCCACCAGAATTCTGGTGGAATTCTTCCCTCCATTGTCAGAATGATTGATGGAAGATAATCATCTCCAGTTTCCTCCTTGCTCTAGCATCTCTGCTGAATGTGTAAGCTCGGATGGGGTTTTACATAATGCTTGACTTCAAGGACTAGGCTGTGCAGCAGCATCTTATTCCAAGACTTGTCAGTACCTCATCAAGCCCTCTGCACACATTCTTGGGGTGGTGACATTTCCTCTAAGCTTTGTCTTTTATCCTTTTCATTCAAGAGCCCTTGCTATCTAGGTATGTGCTGGACTCAGTTTCACACTTCAGTGAAAATACCTCTCTTCCTACTCCAGCAACACTATCAAATATATTTATCAGACTTCCTCCTTTTGGTGAAGACCCGGCTGCATTTCTTTGTTTGGAAATCCCCAGTCAAGCATGGTCTTAAACAAGGTGTGCAGATTTCCTTTTGTAAACCACAGTGCCAACCCAAGTCCAGTTGGAGCCAGTTCTGGATTTCCCTTTTTCTGTCACAGGAACAACATTTCTTCTGGGTCCAGGATTAAGTCTGTGATTTGTGAAGACTAGATCATTGAATTTCACAATCCTTCTCTCCCAATTCCCTGAAGAAGAGCTACATGCAGCATATCTTGCAGTGTGGGTGTGTGGTGTCTGCCATTTTCCCAGTTCCACTCATTCAACTTCCACCTCTTTACTAACCAAATATGACTAGCCATTAACACTTATAGATCCAGAAATCTGTTTTATATTTTTGTTACCCAAGTATAACTAGACATACAAGCAATTGAATAACATTTTTTAATGTTCTTTATTTGGTTTAGTCAACTCTGGTGTAGTTAAAGTGTCATTTGAATTATTTAAATAAAATTAATGAGAATTTTGTTGAATTACATCTGATAGTTACATAGAATGCTTAGACTCTTCTCCTTCCCCACTTCTACCTGCTTTTGCTCCTCTTCATCAAGGCTTTGTGTTGTTGGTCCCTCCACTTGCCCTCTAATCATTAATCATGAAAAGCATAGTCAGCATTTGCTAGCTGGCTCCCATATTCCAAATGTCCGGAGTTACTTTTTAGAGTGCTTCTGCTTCACCTCCTCCCCAACTTTGAAAGGAGGAAGTGCTGATACTTTTTGTTTCATCCTGCCCTACAGGGTGTGCTGTGGGCAACAGAAGCTTCAACCCTGCTTCAGGGAAGAGGGATCCCGACAACTTAAGTAGGAAGGGCTGTGAATTCTCTGGCATAGGGAAGGGTTGGGTTGAGCATTCATGGGATACTGAATAGGAAAGGACAAGAGTGGTGGTTGCATGTGTGTGACAGTAGATGACCAGGGTGCATGAGTGGGAGGAAGCCAGTAAATGAAGTCTATAGGCAGGCTTTTGTGAAAGAGGAGGGGATGGAAGTTTAGCAAAAAGATGAGGGAGAAAATGGGGGACCTGAAGGAACGAGAGGGACACTAAAAGCAAGGGAGATCAGAGTAACTGAAATTAACTTTTATCAAAGTTCAATGCCAAAATGAAAATAAAATAAAAATGAAGTTTAAATTTTCATACAAATGATAGGATTTGAACAATCCACAAAATGTGTCTGCAGTGCTCTGTTTATTACCAGTACATGTGTGTAATATGTAAGATGATCATACAGCTGTTAATTTAAGAGGAGTTGTGATTTGTAGGCTGCTCCAGGTATTGCCCATCTGTGTGGTGTTGTGGCTGGGAGGGGTAAGAGGATAGGTGTCACACATAGGGATCTCTCCTCATTTTCTCCTTGTGATGGATGCAGAGGGCATTTTATGATCCCATTGGGGGCTAGGCTGGGGGGCAAGATTGCAACTGGCACCTATGCCAGCCTGCTTTTCAAGCCATTCTGTTTTTCTCTGAACACACCCCTGAAGCCACCTGCTTGGCCATAATATCTGCCCTCCACAGTTCACTTGCTCACTGGGCCCTTCTTACATCCGCCCTAGTTGTGGAGATTGTCTGGGTGGAAAGGGTAGACACGATTTGCTCTGAAGACTGTCAACTCCAATCAACTTACCC